GTTTGAGGTTTACTCAGGAGCCAGGAGCACCATTATCCCAAAAGCCTAAATAACGAACACAAAACCGCGGCAGTCAACAATTGAAAAGGACACTAGCTTTTGTACTTAATAATGAGCTCCCAGTTTTACTATTATATTAAAAATACATCTTACAGAATTATAACTGTTATTTAATTCTCTTTAAAGCAAGAAGTTTGCCGTATTTAAAAATGAGGTAAAGATAAATATTACGTTTCGCATTTGTTTGATAGTGACAATTAGTTTTGGCGTTTGATTGATGTTTGTTCGAGGAAGTTTCATAATTGCCTGTTTGAGAGTTACCCAGGAGCACCATCCTCCGGAAAGCCTAAATGGCGAACATAAAAACACGACCGTCAAAAACTGAAAATGATACAGGCTTTTATATTGGATAATTATAACAGATTCTACTATGAGGATAAAAATACATTTTATGAAATCGTAAATGCTTATTGCACTTTGTTAAAAGTTTGAAGTTTGCTGGTTTTCAAAACGATGCAATGACAAAATATGGGTTTCGCGTTTGTTTGATAGCGACACTTAATTTTGGCGTTTGATTGATGTCTCGCTCGGTCAAGAAACCACTTTGGTCGATTTACTCGACCAAGAATCTTGCTCGGTTAATCGAAAAATTTGATCGATCAATTGCACCACTACAAATTAGCAGCGCCTACACACACGCATTGCGTATCACATAAAAGAGCGTGTCGCGTATATTAGACTACTCACTACCAAAGATCTTTGTCACTACTCAGTGGTACCACCCTCTGGTACCACTCTCTGGTGGTACTCGCGCAATTCAGTGTCAGACCGAGCGTGCGATTTCTGTTGCTCTCGATGCTCAAGTGATAGCCTATGGTCCCATTTTGAATCAAACTCGGAGTAAGTAATGCGACAGTCCAGGTTCCAGTGCCAAGGCCTTGTTTTGGGAATCCCTCTCTTACTTGCTCCGTGTAGCATACTGAGCCCTACTGTGGCCTAGATTTACTTTATTCTCAAATAAATTGATCTAGCCTAAACTGTGTCAACGGAAATAGGCTGGCTTGTGCTAGGCTAGGCTGAGCCAGTTGAGACTGAGACTTTCTTCCTTCTCCAGTGTTACGGAGCGGTAATGGATAGGCCTAGGGCCTAGTCGTGCTGGTCGAATAAGGTGGGTCAAAGGTTGTCATTGTATGGCAATTATTATTAATATATTAGGCCTAGGCTGTGGTTCACCCTTCTGTTTGAGAATCATGTAGATCTAGATCTACACGAAAACGAAAACACACACACACACACACACACACACACACACACACACACACACACACACACACACACACACACAGAGAGAGAGAGAGAGAGAGAGAGATGAGTGCTTGCTTTAACCTTAAAAGTGAAACAAGTATGATACTAGAGATCTAGATCTAGATCAAGTGTACAGTTGTTCTAACATTTAAAGCCTTTGCCGAAAGGTGGGATACACGGGTGTGACAAATGAGGTCCAAAATCAACGTAGGCTCGACCTTGTGCGAACAAAATTTCTTTTTCACACACCTGGTGTGAATAATATTAATTAATTCTTAGGCTGGTGCTACTCACCTGGGAATCCCCCTGCCCGATGTCGGGTGACTAGCGCCAGGCTACTCACCCGATCTAGGATTTCTGCGCATGTTCCGGGCGCGTATATAATTCAGCTGCTATGTTGACCGATCCGACTCTTGACTTGGAGGACAAGGAGTGACTGAGTGAGTGACTGAATCTTGCGCGATTGATCATGCGAATTTTAAAGGAGCATGCGCAGAAATCCCCACGGGCCAGAACACGGAACATGTGCAGAAATCCCCAAGGGCCAGAAGCCGCAGGCCAGGCGGGGCTAATCAACCAAATTCATTAATAAACAGACAAGACATATACTCATGAATGCTCTTTAATTAGAACCATATACAGTCGAACCTGCGTAAGACGGAATCGCAAGGGAGCGCGAAAAAAATTCAGTCTTAGACATTTTCCATCTTAGACAGGGGAATTTAGGCGGGATGTGGAGGTTGCGGGAGGTTCAAAGGCCCAGCCGGTGGGATCAAGGATCGCTCGTCCGACCGGCAAGCAGTGGTCAAACTTCACACCTCTCAATTGCTGTCCTGTCTGATAATGACATGCGTCAATTTTGCTTGTCCAATTACCTCCAGTCCTTGCCTTTCATGGGACCACTGTTTGACCTATTAAGAACAGAAACGTTTGAACATCTCCTTTGCTTCCACCCTTAGCCCCACCCACCAATGCCAGCCCTCACTGCCATCATTGTAACAATGATTCAAGGAACTCTTTTCTCGGCTGGCCGTATGATCAGGGCGGCAGGCATTGGTCAATCTAATTTCACACCTCTGGCTTCTGGCTACCCAGGAAAGTTTCCGTAGTGACTCGCTACTCGAGCACTCTCACGGGCAGTTGCGAGATTTCACACCCACACTACACTGACCATCTGCATCGCTCAGGGCTCACATGATTGGGTCACATTTACCCCCAAATTGAACGCCTACTCCCCTTCCTCGCCCAGCGGCAAGGCCATTGCGTTATGTTTAGAGCCGACGGAACAAAACTTGCGAGTTTTGTTTCAAATCAGGGCTAAGTGGGCAAAGCATTTTCCGTCTTAGGCAGGTGAAACCCTCGGAAGGGAGCGGATTTTTCTTTCCGTTTCCGCGTTGGACAGGTTTCCGTTTTATACAGGTAATTAAAGAGGAATATATCAAGGGTGGAGCGGGGAGATTCCGTTAAGACAGGTTTCCGTTTTATACAGGTTTCCGTTAAGGCAGGTTCGACTGTATAATCCACAAATGGGATGAAACACTTTAAAAAGTGGGGAAAACCAACAATTTAATAAACAACAAATTCTGAAATTATTCTTAGGGGTTTCCTCATCCAGAATCTAACCGGAATTTGTTTTTGGTAAATTATCTGTCTCCCCCGCTCAATATCAGTCATAAGACGCAATTGCTATTATAAATCAGCTATGAGGCTCTAATTTAAATACAAAAACGTGACTTATTCCATGAAATTTTGAACACTTTGAAAAAGTTCAGACTTTCTTCATTACAACTGCAACAGTGTAAGTTGTTTGTACATCTGATTATTAGAAGCTAGAGAATGCCATGGAAATTGAAAGGGAAACCACTCGCGGTCGGAATGCGAGATCGGCCTGTTCAAAATTGACACCTATGCATCCGAATGCTTTGCAGAAAGATTGATGATTAAATACTGTCTTTTCATTATTGGAGAACTATACAGCTTTAATAAGCGTGGTTTCCCGTGGTTATTATTTCTGGCCTTCGGCGTTTGGATGATTCGAAAACCTTGAAAAAAGCGTCTAAAAGTTTTCAAAGATCATTTTTAACTCAAAATGTGGAAAACACTGGCTAAAAAAGGTACCAATAGAAAGAACAGTTCTTTTTCTATTAGAATAAAGTCATCGGCTTGGAATTATTTGGCAAGAATCCTTCCGCGAAACTCTGGGGAGCACTCAGTACACTAGACTACGGTTAATAGAGGTGGGCGATTCCTGTTTTTTTCGGTAACAGTAGATTCCCGAATATTAAAGGCTAGGAATCTTAGGAATCGGCGCCAAACCCAATTACTTTCTTTATAGCCAGTGATGTGATTTCTTCCAGTGGCTCTATGATTTCTTCCAGTGGTTTCGACCCGTAGCCAGTATTATGATTGTATATGCAGCGACTAGCAGTTAGCCCGACCCCTGCAATGACCTCCGGCGAGTAGCAATTAGTCCAACCCTTGCAATTACTCCCAGCAAGTAACGATTAGTCCGACACCTGCAATTATTTTCGGCGAGTAGCAATTAGTCCGACCCCAGCAATTATTTCCGCTGAGTCGCGATACCTATGACTACTTCCGACGAGCAGCAATTAATCCGACCCCAGCAATTATTTCCGCCGAGTCGCGATACCTATGACTACTTCCGGCGAGTAACGATTAGTCCGATCCCTGCAATTACTTCCGCCGAGTAGCGACACCCATGACTACTTCCGGCGAGTAACGAGTAGTCCGACCCCAGCAATTACATCCGGCGAGTAACGATTAGTCCGATCCCTTTGATTACTTGGGGTGGGAGGGCGCTACCCCAGGCACTACCCCACCCAATCTCTACAGTATGAAGTCAGACACCAACACTGACCTACACCGAGAAATGAGAGTCTATAATATAGAGCCTCGTGGGCAGACGTTACAGTTTTAGATTTTGAATTGAAAGAAAAGAGAATATAATTTAGAAACAACAGCAGATGAATGAGAAAAAGGCGAAAGCAACGAATAAGTTTTGACACTGTATACTAGATCGATATAATCTTTGACAATGACTATGCATCCTGACTACTCTTTCTTAAGTTTTCAAGATTCAGGATAACTTCGATTTCAGAACATAGCAAAGCACCAACATTTTTTTTTCAAAAATACATTCTTTGAAGAAATAATATTTTCTCAGAAGCAATAATTGCAGGAATCAGTCCTGGAATCGATTCTTGGCCCACCACTAACGGTTAGAGCCGACTTGCTCACCACGGGGACAGATGCGGAGCCGGTCGAGACAACGCTCAGTGTTTTTATTGAAATAATGACAGATCATCATGTTTGAGGCAATAAATACTGATTTGTAATGATCTCACAGTTTTGAAAAAAATTAAGCTTCATGATTTCTTTGTTATAATTATTGTACTCTGTTAATGTAGAGATGTTTGGTACACTTGGTACTCTTTTATTATCTGTCAATCATGGGGTTGTCGCCAGTTAGCGACTTCAGCAAAATTATGTTAAATTGAAACAGCTACCTTTCTCTTAAACATAGGCTGAGAGGTAAAAGTATGGTACCGAAATTCTCAAGAGACATAGGCCTTTCAATACTTTCATATGAAACAGATGAATTTGATATACAGCTACTTTGAAAATATAGTAGCTGGTACCTAGTATAATGCTAATATTTTGTTGCTTTTGATGTGAAGTCCATTTTCGTGAAAATTTTGTTTTCTCCATAAGTTTTTTTCTCTGTAAACGAATAGTTTTATACTTCTGTATGTTACCTTGTAGTGGCATAGCCAAGATAACTGCTAAATTTCTAGTCTCTATCTTAATTCTGAGACCCCCATTGCTGTAGAAACATGATGCAACTTCGTAGGCCATTTTCTCTTTTTCGTGTTTCCTCACCTCGCTCAATTAAAAGTTCTGTTTTTTCGTCAAATATGGCCATATTTACTCCATTCTTGTTTTGAATTGTAGGGAAAGTTTTTCAAAATAATAATGTTTACTCTGTTTTGAAATTTTATTTCCTTCATATGACTGATATTGACCGGTAGGACACATCTATATATATATCAATTGAACTGTAAACTTGACAGGAAATGACATCATCCCTTTTGTTGTAGAGGTAGTTCCCAAAAGTGAGGGATTTGGCAAGATGGGTTTTATATATATCTGAAAGGCTTCAGCTGCTACATATTCTTCACCATGCATGCTTTCTTTCTGTCTTCCGATGGAAGTTTTGAGGCATAATCTGAAGAACCAAAATAGTCAATCAGTATCAGTGACAAATTATCATCACAGTCTTAAATCTGAGTAAGAATAACGTTAATAACTCAACTGTCATCACACTGTGTCCCACTCATCCTAATAACAAGCTTTTTTTGTCCCATCTAGATATATCCCAACCCCAAGCTGATGAAATTCAACATGTGATTGTAAGTTCTAGGATTTGCAAAAGATAAAAACGAAAACAGTATGTGCATGTTGAAATAATGACAACAAAGGAAAATAATGCCTTATAATACTTCTCTGTTTCTGTGCATGTAACAAGACGAAGAGATTGTCTCTCAGCAAATCCAATAAATTCAGCATCAAAAGTTTGGAGATCCACAGCTTGAAAGGAAAATGAAAGCCGAGGGTGGGAACAGATTTGAGGGCTGTTCTGTTTCATACCTGTTCATATATATAAGTATGGCGCACAGCTGGAACTGCAGGGTTTATGAGTTACAGCAGTTGCCCCATGTATCCCACATTCCATGTTTCCCAACCTTCCCCTATATATTATATCAAGGTCTATATATTTATTATTTAATATATATAATATATATATATAATAAACGTGTTGATAGCCACATTTGTTAAAATGCTTGTGAATTTTGAGGACTCTTTTTCCGGCTTTTACCTCTTTCTTTGCTGGGCTGTATTTTGCTTATTTTTTAAAACTGTCCCCATAATCATTTTATGAAAGAAAAATTCTGATGCAAACTGAGCCCAAAAATGTGAAATTATGCGATTCTGTTAATTTTAACAAAGAATGATAAAGGAAAATAATCAGAAATTATGCAAAAAATGATAACATTTTGCTAAATTATGCGGGGTGCATAAAACCATGGGGACAGTTAATACGCAGTGGCTATTTCTATGGTTCTTTAGGCTATTTTTACGGTCATGTAAAGACAGTCTTCAGGGCTATTTTTGCGGTCATGTAAAGACAGTCTTCAGGGCTATTTTTACGGTCATGTAAAGACAGTCTTCAGGGCTATTTTTGCGGTCCAGTAAACATGGTTCTCTGAGCTATTTTTACGGCAAAGATGCTCTTCTTTACTGAAGTCTCTTTCACTTTTAACTTTCAGAATTTAATTAAGTTAGAGCCAAAATGATGGAGGAAGCTTCTCCTCAATTCGCTTTTGGACAAGTAGTTTCAAATTTTGAAAGTCTTGAAAATGCAATTGATGTTTATTTCAATCGGCTGCTGTTCAACTCTATAACAGAAATACCCAAACAATTAAAAATGCACTCTAGCGTTGCCCCAAGAAACTGATCAATGAAGCTTAGAAGTATAGGGAGATTGATTACGCTTAAATTCATGGCAGGCGTTCGTACAAGTCTGTTTACAAGGGCCATAGACCAAATCAGTCATGATCTCGCGTATTATTAGAGTATTATTTGTCTTATATTGAAGCCATTGTAAATTAAGGTGATACATCGCTTGGATACACAGTAAGCCTTTTCCAAACGTAAACAACTAGATCAAGGTCCAAAGTTGACATTTCTGAGGCGAGGCAGTACTTATCAATGCAGAGGCTTGGACCAAGGAGCTTGATTTGTTTGAGAGAAAAGAGAAATCTCAAGAATGGAATTGCAGTGTTTGTACACGAAGTTTAAGACTTCATATGCAGGAAATTATAGATGCCTCAACTGGTATCACATCAAGTGGGCTACCGCAAAGGGTTATCTGTGCCTAAGGGACCGTTAACAAATGACGTCAGCTTAGAGGGGGGAGGGGGAATGAGTGAAAAGTTTACAAAACTTGACATGGAGGGGGGGGGGGGGGGTCCTTTTGAAGTTGACTTCAACCATGACGTTCTAAAAGTTGGAGAGGAAAAAAGATGGAATGAAAGGAAGTAAAAATATAACAGACCACATTTTCTTGGCCTAAAATTAACACAGTCGTTAAATTGGACCATATTTTTGGGGGGGCCTAAAAACTAAAATTAACAGTTATCTCCCCTTAGCGCAGACTGCTGGAGATTAGAACTAAAATATGAGTGAAAATAGACTATAGTTTTCACCTTTCAAATTTAAAATAAAGATCAAAAGTGTAAATATAAAATGCATACTGTAGGCCTACACTTTGGTTGACGTCAACTGGGTGGGGGGGGGGGGGGGGGGCTCATTTCTAGCCAAATTTTAGCTGACGTCATGTGTGAACGGTCCCTAAAGAAAAATGGTTTTGCTGCTCATGTAAGGCTTAAAGTACAGTCATAGGCCTATTCATATGTACACAGTCAAACACGGGTATTGGAAATAGTGTTCGAGATTTCTGTAATTCGTTGTGTCCGTGAAAGCCCCAGATACGAAGAAATATAGAGAAAATCTAGGTAGATAGAAAAGAGCATTAAAACATTTTACGCTGTTAGCTCCATTGATAAACATGTTGACGATGTGAAAGCAAGAAGATGAATGAAAGTGGAAAGCAGAAAATCTCATGGGTACACAACCGACTCCTACGTCATTCCTTCCCTCTCATTTCATTGGCTTACAGAAAGTTATGCCTCTTGCCATCTGCACCGCGCACATCCCACAGCATGATTGCACGCGTGGCAGGCCAGTCATGTGGTGTGGTCAGCATCATTCCCCAACCCCCCTTCCCCGTCCCCCCTTCCTCCAGCCTATCGTGGTGAGTCAAGAACCACGTTTTGGCTGTAACAATTACAAAGAAACACCCCCCGACCAGAAAGGTTGTAAAGCTGGGTCTTTAGTTGAAAATGAGAAGCGGATTTGTTCGAGATTCAAGTGTTGCATGTTGCGAGTGTTCAAGAACTCCGTGAAGTCAATACAAAGCAAACATAGGGACTGAAACGGGACTGAGCATTGTGTTCGAGATACCCGAGAATTCGTGATTTTCGGGTTCAAGATTTGTGGACTCTACTGTATATATATGTATATGTATATATACATGTTTATGTGTGTGTGTGTGTGTGTGTGTGTGTGTGTGTGTGTGTGTGTGTGTGTGTTTGTGTGTATCTGTGTGTGTGTGTGTGTGTGTGTGTGTGTGTGAGCTTTTTCACATCTCTAATGTGATGCTCTATGTATCACTGCTGTGTATGATTATGACATCTTGTCACTTTATGAAATGTTCACTGTGTTTATTTGTTATAATGTTCACAATAATAATTTGAAATAAATAAAATTTGTTTTCATATTACAGTATTCTAAAATGAAAGCTTACTTTCTTGCGAATTTCTGTTTGTTTTCTTTAATTAATAATACATGGGTACATGGGTATTATCTGTGCATTATTTATATTTGATCTGGCATTCAATTTGACAAGGTAACCCATTTTTATTCACCTATTTGGCAGCACTCAGGTTGTCAAGGTAACCTCTTTTTATTATCCATCTTGGCAGCACTGTGTAGTCCTATCTAATTCGCAGATTCATTTATTTTTTGTTGTGACAGCACAAAAAAAAAGTCTGGGTTGTTCTAAAAAAAAAACCAGTAGTTCTTGTTTCAGTGTGACAACGCTGGACTCAAAATAGTGTGTGGTGGCACTGTCAATACTGATAGGCCTACTTATTATCTGCATTCCATATTGTAGCACTTGAAACCATAAAGGTCTTTAAAAAATATCTAGTCCTATTTGTATGCTTAGGGACAGTTTACAAATGATTTCAGCAAAGTTTTGGCAAAAAAATGCCCCCCCTCCCTCCCCCTAGTTGACGTCAGTCAAAATGTATATGTACATTCAGATGAACTTGTACAGGATGCATTTTATATTATTTATATAGACCTTTGATCTTTATTTTCAATTTTTAAAATAACTATTGTTTATTAAAGAATACAACAAAGAAATACCTGAACTGTCAAAGTATTTTTTAACAACTTTATCCAACCAAAATAATGACCACAAATAGTTTGGATATAACTGCTTGGAAAATAAACCAAGCAAAAAGATTGGAGTATCATGTCAGCTTGGAAAGAAAAGGATATCTAATACCTGTAAATCAATTTGATCCAATTTAACTTTTTAAATTTAGGCCAAGAAAATGTGTTCTATAACATTTGTTCTTCCTTTCTTTTATTTTTTGCCCTAACCTTTTAAAGCATCGTGGTTGATGTAAACTTTTATCAACTTTTCATAAACCCCCCCCCCCCCTCCCAACCTACCTCCTCTGAGCTGAAGTCATTTGTAAACGGCCCCTTACTATAATATCATATCTCTCTCTCTCTCTCTCTCTCTCTCTCTTTCTCTCTCCCTCTCTCTCCCCTGTCTCCTTTCCCCAAAACATATTTTTCTGAACATAACACTTTTCTTTAATCTGTCGCCTATAGGCAAATATCATTCACATATCCATCAGTAAATCTATTTTCTCTATTTTCTGTGCCCCCCAGGATTTCCCTGTGGATCTGGACATTGGGGACACGTCACTGAGGACCCAGTTACGTCAGGACCTTGGGTGTCGAGACTTCCAGTGGTATCTGGATCACGTGTTTCCGCAGATGGAGGTCATCTCCCCGGAAGTGGCTTTCCATGGACTGGTGAGTGGACTTACGCTGGACATTACCGTCGGCTGGTTTATAGATGGGTCACTCTTTTTTTGTTTCTTTTTTTGGGGG